TGGACCGCACCTGGACAGGACTCAGCATCTTCCAGATCAAGGGCGACATCCGACGTGAATTGGCCATGTATGCCAAAGCCCCACTACAAGGAGCACGTCAGATGGGCAAGACTGCCAAGATGCAGCACGCCAAAACCTTCAAGAAGGACAAGAACAAGAACAACCTCACAGAGCGTCACATGACGCCAGATGAACGTGCCCAGTTCAAGGCCGCCAAGGTCAAGGAATTGCAAAGCTTCTTCGACAACCAAGTGTGGCAGTTCGAGACCACCCATGAAGCAGAGCCCAGCCGGACTTTGACAAGTCGCATGCTACTCAAATGGTCAAAGAATCCCGATGGAAGTCCAAGGGCGAAGGCCCGTTTGATCGTCAGAGGATTTCAAGATCCCGATGCCTGGGAGGGCACTGTTCCTACATCCTCTCCAACGACGACCCGGCTGTCGAGATCTATGTTGCTCAGCCTGGCTTCCACGATGAACTGGCCAATTTGGACCTCAGACATTGCCACGGCTTTCTTGCAAGGCAAACCGCAAAGCAGGAAACTATGGGTACAACTCCCAAACGAATGCCTGGAACTGCTTGGAGCATCCCCAGACACACGGATGCTACTCCTGAAGCCCTGCTATGGTCAGATAGATGCCCCAAGAGCTTGGTACCTGGCCGCCGTGGACAAGCTGAAGGGCATGGGGTTGAAACAACATCCACAAGATCCCTGCTGCTTCCTCATGTATGAAGGCGAGCTCAACCCTGAGTTTGATCCTGCTGCACCGGCACCGCACTTGTTGGGCCCGCATGGTCTTTGTGGCATGGTGATCATGCACGTGGACGACATGCTTGGCTGTGGCTCCACCACCTCGCAGTGCTACAATGACACCCTGGCCAAACTCAAAAGCTCATTCACCTTCCGTGAATGGAAGACAGGTGATGATGGGAAGCCCCTGACCTACTGTGGCTGCGACATCTACCTCAATGAGGACGGAAGCTTCATGCTCAACCAAAAGAGCTATCTTGGCAAAGTGAAGCCAATCTCCTACGACCGGAAGCGCAACCTCACAGAGTCTTTGAACCAAAAGGAAATCACACAGCTGCGTGGTTTGCTAGGTTCTTTACAATGGCCTGCAGTGCAATCTAGCCCTCATCTACAGAGCAGCACATCTATTTTGAGTGGCTATGTCAACAAAGCATGTTTGCAAACTGTGGCCGATACCAATCGTCTGCTGCGTTTCGCTAAGGAGCATGCTGATGTTGGTTTGCACTATGCCCATCTGGGCCCTGTTGAGGAGCTTCGCATGGTGTGTTTTTTTGATGCTGCATTCGCCACAAGGAGTGATGGTTCATCACAAGCTGGCTATGTGATCATGTTGTTGCACCAAAGCCTGCTTGATGCGAATGGCCCTGAAGGCGCCTACCACATCCTCGACTGGCGCAGCATGAAGACACCGAGGATTGCTCGGTCATCGCTTGGCGCAGAAGCTCAAAGTGGAGGACAGGCATGTGACGCCCTCGAACATGCCAGCATCTACTGGAGTTTGCTCATGGACCCTCGGCAGAGCTTGCAGCACGTCTTGAATGCCCCGTCGCTGTTGGCCCCAGTCATGGTCACGGACGCCAAGGCTTTGTTCGACTCCTACCACAGAGAAGGTGTGTCAAGTTCTGTGGTCGACAAAAGGGTCTCTCTGGAGATCAGGGTCATGAAGGACCGCCTCAGTGCTTTGGGCGGCAACCTTCGGTGGATGTCCTCCGAACGACAGATCGCAGATGGTCTGACAAAAGAGGCTGCTCGGCTTCTCCTGGCACAACGACTTCGTCATGGTCGACTCAAGCTGGTATGGGATCCCTCATACAAAGCCGCGAAGAAAAAGACGAAAGAAGAACTTCAGCAGAGCCGACTGGAGAGTGTTCAGGAAAGCCCCAAAGTTCAGTTTGAGGACGAGAGCCTCATCCAGCCCGACAACTTGGACCTATACGAGCCCTTTGAGACTGAAGAAATTGAGCACAATGTTGATGAGCACCTGCTTGATGAAGACCAGGACCCAACGAATGAACAGGTCCTTGAGAATGTCATGTGTGCTCGCACCGATGACGCCATTGTGTATGTCAACCGTAGGGCCAACCATGTCGTGCCTGGCCACTTGACTAAGCCCTGTGCAGGCTTCATGAAGTACCTCCTCCAGCTCCTTTGCTTGGTTGTGATGGTTCCCCAGCTAGTTGTTGGCACCGACCTCACCACCGAAAAGAAAGAAGAAGTTGACTTTGTGGGAATGATTTTGTTCACCGGCTTCCTCATGGTCATGAGCTCAGCATTCCTGGCTGGCCGTTGGACCCGCCAACCTGGACGCCCTGTGGTGGCAGAAGCTGCAGTTCAAAAGGACGAGTTGGTGATTCACTCCCGCCTTCGTGAAGAGCTGGCGAAAGCAAAAGAAGAAGTGTCTCTATGGCGCAACCGCGCTGTGCAGTTCAAGTCCTCAGCTTCTGAAAGTCGAGCTGCTGCTGACATGGTGCTAGCGTACCAGTGCACAGCAGAGAACCTGCTGAGCGAGGCCAATGATCTCCTTCGCATGTGCATCAGGCAGATGGATGAGCACTCCAACGACTGCCCCTTTTACCAGAAGATCTGGATGTCAAGGCATGGTCATCGATGGCATGCCACTCCTGAGTGCACCTCTCTGGTTGGTCGAGAAGCATCGTCCTTTCGGATGGTTGAGAGATGCCATCTGTGCAGCGTCCGCATGCTGCCGCCGGATCTAACCGATCCACGAGAAGGAGAGCCCGCAAGGGTGCTGGTTTTTCGCTGGCTGGACGCCTACGAGCAGCGACTTTTAGACACATGAGGAAAAGAACTTTTTCCCCGTGTGAAGTGTACGCTGTACACTTAGGTTCTTGAAGATGAACCTGTTTCATGTCACCCGCAACTCACCTCTCAAGCATGGGAGGGTTCATGCGCGCTGAAAAGGCGCGGCCGTGAGGATCGTTGATCCTCGTGCTTTCTTTTTCGACACGGACTTCGTTCGCCGTGCACGACAAGTTCACACTATGACTTAAGTATGTGTGAGAGGGATTGAGCGTTTGGCTTTTTGAGAAAGAATTGGGTTGGATCCAATAAGCTACATCCAACCCTACTCCCGGCTGGATCCAACTTACTCCATCTGGGTAGGATTGATCCTGTCCATTCCGTGGACTAGGCGAGCTTCGTGTCGCGCGATGCGGACCACATCCTCAACGCGGTGGATGCGGTGCTGTCGACCGCCACGGTGTCCACGGAGTCGGTGTTAAACGCCTTGGAGGCACGGAGTCGGGCGGGAGGACGGAGACCAAGGGGTGGGCAAACCCAAGATGTTAGAAGGGATTGATGTGTTTTTCTCTCAGTTCACGCTTGAGCAATGCCATGGCTTGGCACGTCTCAGAGGGTTGAAAGACACGGGTTGCCTGGTTTCTCGAGCTGCTAAACGCTGTGGGCTGTGGGCCTGAGAGGTCGCGACCAGTCTACTGGATCCAACGCCTGAAGCTTTAGAGAAGATGAGTCAAATCCTGGTGTCCACCGTGAAAACCGGAGGGCCTGGAGGAATGCCCCCCAAAACCGAGCTGCTCCGTGCAGCTGAGATTTTGCAGATGTGCCTGGATTTGGCGGTCGCCAGCCCCGAGCAGGGCATTGGCAGCACGGCAGCCATTGCGATGCTGGAAGCCTTGTCCTCGGTGCATGAGGCGGGTCGCAGCCCAGATCCCAATGCCACAGAGGAACTAGCAAACTTCACCCGAAGGACAGGGGCTTTAGCCTCCAGCATGGCCAAAGCGGCCTTGGCAAAGCTTCAAGTGGGAGACTCGAGCTTTGTGAGTGGTGCAGTTGAAGGAAAAGGAACCAATCTGCAGCTGGTGTCCAGCTTGGCTTCTGCTCTCACTGAGAGTGGCTTGCAAGTGCAAAGACTCTACATGCCTCCTGGTGTGTTGACCACAAGCCGTCGACTTCAAGCTTCTGCATGCAGTGACGTGGGAATCTCTGCGATCTACTGGCAGAGAAGCAATCCCTATACCTGGGCCAGCAGTTCCAAGGGCGTCAATCAGTACGTGTCTGCAGATGCGACCGTTGCTGTTCTCGAGTTCGAGATGTGTGGGTCTCCGCTCATGTTCAACGAGAGTATACCCGACAGGACAATGAGATTGAGGCAAGAAACACTTCGAAGTGTTTTTTTTAGCTCCTTTTTTTCTGATCAAAACAGACAAAACAAACATTTTTTTGTATTTTTGATTATCTTTTCGGATCAAAAGCAGAGGGTGACATGGACCATGGAGGTGTTCTCTGTTCTTGAAACCGTGGGGGGATTTTGTTGGCCCTGGCCATCAGGGCTATCACTCTGCCAGCAAGAACTCCTCCACCGGTTGGCTTTCGATGGGAGGTCTATTGTGCAAAGTGTCTTGGAGATCAGAGGACCAAGTCGGACGAAACAAATCAGATACCCCGTCGAAGACTCGTCGCGTGCCCCGAAAACAACCGTCTTCTACCGTCTTCTACCGGGTCCCCGCTCCGGGGTCCATGCTCGTTTTCGGGGGACCTGGCAGGGTGAGGAGTTGTGAAGCCCGTGTCTGCTTAGGGAGGTCATGCCATCGGCTGAGGCCGGAGGTCAGGTCAGAGACTTGGAGATGTACATTGTGTGAAAACACTGAGGTGGTCAGAGTCTGAAGAAGCTTGGCTTCTCCGTGGCATTGAGGTTCAGAAGCCAGTTTACTGGGATGATGTAGAGGTCTCTTGCATGATATATGAGGGTGCGAGTGGCCTGGTCTTGAATTGGTCATTTTTATTCTGCCATGCACATGTCCTTTAGCTCCTAAATTCTCCTAAGATCTCCTAAGTTTCCTTCGAATCCGGACCTGAGTGACCCGGTGACCTGAAGTACTTAGACCCCAAGAAGCAGATTTTTCAAAGACTCTGGGCCATCGCGTCATGTCTTTTTTTGATAACGGTTTTGATAACAAGCCACATGCATCAAAGCCCTCGTACCCGATCTTTCGTGGAAGGGCCTAAGGGCTTGGCATTGGTGCTGGGAGTCATGCTCGGACAGTTGTTCCTAGTAGCTTCTTGTTCCTAGTAGCGATGCCAGGAGCCCCTGGTAGCTTCTTGTTCCTAGTAGCAGGCAAAGCAGCCGGTGAAAACCTTGGAGGAACCTCCGATCGGACCCATGCAAACACGCCTCTTCTCGGAATCGATTTCAAGGGTGGCTGGATTCCAAGGAATCCAATTCATTCCCTTCATTCCCCAATTCATTCCCCACTTCATCGTCGCACCGGCGGCTTTTTCCGCCTCCGACCGGACCACGAGGCGGCATGTCCTTGACCGCCTTCTTTCTGCCCGAAGAGGTCACCACCACGTCGACCACTGTGGAGTGGACCCACCCGACCTATACCACCTTTGAGATCCCTCCGCTGCCCCCCGTCTACGTGGTCTCGTGCAACGAGTCGCTCCTGCCAGAGCCTCCCAAGGGACAGGGGTGGAATTGTACCAAGCCAGGACGGCGGGCTTTTGGGGTTTGGAGAACGATGGTTTGTTTCGTAAAAGCCAGGCTGCAGGAGAACCCCCCCCGCACCTCAAAGCTTTGTTGATTGCGGAAAGAAGGTTGGCTGTGGTATTAGACCGACAGGATCGTCTTGTGGGTGGTTGTTCAGAGTTCCACAATTAATTAGGTATCTTTCAAGCATGACTTCAGGTAGCACGATAACACCTCCCTCTCAGACACGGTTTCTCTTCCCCAGAACGTGGAACCTGGTGGATGAAGGACTGGACTTTCCTCAAACTCTCCTCCTCTCCAGGAGAAGGCCAGGAATGCCGAGCCACGTGTGAAGGCTATCCAGATATGATGGCCAGTGTGACCTGCTTAAAGGGAGCCTCTTCACTGGAATGGTTTGTGACCAATGTTTGTCCGATCTTCACCACCACCACCCTGGACTTGACCGTGGACCACCCCGCAGACCACGCCATCTTGGGATCGGTGCTGATCTTCGTGTGGATCGTGGTCTTTTCATGCAGCGCTGGAATCTGTGCGTTGATGGCCTATGGGCTCTACAAGTTTTCGATGAATGAGTCCAAGAGCCAGGTCTCAGCGGCTCCAAGCATCGTCGTGACCGACACGGAGGCCCCCGCCTGGGCTTTCGGCGAGTTGCGCCGTTTTTGCGCCGGGACACTTTCCAGGAAAAAACGCACCATTTGTTTGCTTCCTTTCTTCTTTTTTGTTTTTTTTTGTTCTGGCCAAACAAGACTGCTTTCAGGCATCCGAGGACGAAGAAGAAGACATGGTGGATCCAGCATTCCTGCAATGGGCCAAGAACTGGGCAGAAAACCCCACCGTGGAGAGTGCAGTGCTTGAAAGAAAAGTCAAGGCGGGTGAACGGCGACGAAGACCAGGGGCGGCGACATGACCCGGTCTAAGCGATCACAGGTCGATTTCCTGTGGTCTAAGAATGTCGACGGAAGCGCAAACGCGGAGTGGCCGGTAGTTCGTTTGCCGACTTCCAAGTTGGGGGATTATATTTTTGCTTGAACAGTGAGGCAAAGGTCACAAGAAGTTCCCTTACGATTTGCTAGTCGACCTTTTCAAGTTCTCTAGTCCCATGCTCTTCAGTGACGGTTGATCACAGAGGGGGGAGGCCTGGATGGCTCTCCAGGCCAGCAAGTCGCAAGAAGCTTTGCTCGACCAGGCTTCGAGTATTCTCGAAGCTCGACCAAAGATTTGAATGGAACATGAGGGTTTTGGGCAGGGGGAATTTGAGAGCCAATGTGTACCATATGAAAACCATATGAACATGAACCATATAAAATATGAAACCATATGAAACCACATATGAAAAGTCTTTGAGAAAAACAATATGACATGAATAAGTGACGCAGAATTCTCCGACCTCATAGTTCATAGTTCGGGGCCAAAGTCGCATGCAGACCAAGATCTATGGAGAGGGAGAAGTGATGAGAAGTGAAAAAACACCACGAAAGAATGCCTTTTCATTCTAAAGAGTTTTCGTTTCTTAGTCCTTCAGGACAGACCTTCTCCACGTTGGACAGTTCAGCTGAGTCAGCCCAGCCAGGGGTTCGGACGGGTGTTCAGGAAGTCGCCTCACACGTTTCTGCTGAGTCGGAAGTGGCCTGAACGACCAATGTCTGAGGCCAATGAGAATGAAGCTGGAGAGGCCTGATCAATACCTCCCTTCCCCCCTCCAAAACAAGCTTGATACGTCGGCAGCTTGCTCAACTTGCTTCATCTGTGACACCTGTTTTGGCATTCAATTTCTCCCAGCAGCACTGGCAGGACGCAGCTACTTCTTCGGCTTTTACTCGAACAGCGTGGAGCTCGGTGACACCCAAAGTGGGAAAACATGGGAAAACCATGGACACCCCACCTTGCCGATTGCTGGCGGTAATCCACAGAAACCTTTGAACCCATGACGCGTTCAACCAAAGTCGTTCAACGGCAGCGCCTCACCGCTGCAGCGGCAGTCGTTCACCGCCTTTCTTGTTCCGAAACGGGCCTTTCGGGCCGTGCAGGCGGAGATCGAATTCACCGAAGACTGGAAGGCTGACCTGGAAGCCCTTCTCCGGGATCACCAGATTCCCCTCGATGGTGAAGGCGAGGGTGGGGGTAAATGCGATGCGCGGGTTTCACGGCACGGTGGGGGAGATGTCTCGGACACAGGTCGGCTATACTATGTGGTGAACACCGTGCGGGAAATCTTGCAGGTCAAAGATTTGCAAAGCCTTCACAAGGTGAATTTTCCCTTGACGATCCACATGCAGGACTGGATGTGGATGTCAGGTTGGTGTGGCCAGGTTTGATTTGCCAGGTTTGATTTGCCAGGTGTTTTGGCTGCGCTTTTGATCCGTTTTGCAGGAAGCACCTCCACAGGTGGAAAAAGCTGACGGCTTCTACTTCTGGCAGGCCGGTCTACTCTTCCGTTTTGCCACAAAAACACCTGGGTCTTTCCGTTTGGGAAGACATTTGCGAGGTGGAGTGGGGAGCCTTGAAGGGCTCAAGCATCAGCACGAAGAAGGAAGACCAGAACGTTGATGCGCAGCCTCCAGAGGAAGAAGCTGAAGATGGTGGTGCGGTGCATCAGATGAGCCAACGGCAGATCGAACATGATGATTTGATGAAGCAATGGAGACTTGGATGAGCGATAGATATATGGTATTCGTATTTACTGATTGGCTGCCCTTCGCCCATTCTCTCATGTCTCGGCTGCCCTTGTCTCTTCATGCGGTTGTTTCAGCTCAACACGACCAGCACGGACCCTTCACGACGGAACCCCCGACGTCGGCATACGCCCCGACGATCGGAAGACGTGCCACAACCGGACGTCGGCATACCGTTGCTAGTCATATATCGTACATGAAACAACACATGGTGTCATCAATATCATATACGATTTGCAGATTTGACCGAGTATTTTTTCCAACCAAGCCAGGATTCTGAGTAGATACGGATCACGTCCAAAATACGGATCACCCAAACGCGCAAATCCAAGGAGCCAGCACAGTTTGAGAAGGACCGCGGACCAGGATCCGAAGGCTGCGAAAGGCTGGGTCGCTTTGTTCGGTCCAGAATCCTTTCTCCCAACAACCTGGCTCCCTCAGCTTTACACAGCGGTCATACGAGGACTCTGGTCTTTTGGAGTTTTTGGTCCGCAAATTCCATTGATGACCCCAACGCTTGCTTGATGAGCCGGGAGCTGCAGGAGCTCCCGGCGTTCTTTTTTGCTTCACCCAAGAGTCCCGAGATCACAGGACGGGAAGACGCGACGAGCGGGAGCACGAGCACCACGTGCGCTCGACCACGTGGTCGACCAGCTCCAGAACCCCTAAACCCTAATCCCTCACCGGCGAAGCGTTCCACAATCGGGCTCCGAAAGAGTTTTTTGAATGGAACGCTTTTGGAGCCCATGGAACGGCTCCAAACACAAACTCTTGCCGAGCCCGTCGGTCCACGGGCTCCGTCTAGGTCCACGGGCTCCGTACCGTGGAACGGTCGTCCCGCCAGGACCGGCGAGTGGCTATCCGCCGGAAGCGCAGGATCCCCTCCAGAAAGCCGGGAGGCCAAGGTTACACAGAGAGGAGGAGAGGAGTGAGAGGAAAGCTTTCCTTTTGGAGGGTCTGTGTTGGTCAGAGTCAGAGTATACAATCTGGTGGAACTCCCAGTCCAATTGCGAGGAAGCGCCTACTTGGTAGAATGTTGCCCAACCACCTCACGCTGTAGGGACAGATTCAAGGCACCCGGTTGGGAGGTGCCGGAGAAATCATTATGTTTCACTTGTTTGGAGGTTTAACATGTGGGGTGGGAATTGAGGTCCTACAGGTGTGTGCATCTTAGCATCATGTTGCATCTCTTGGTCCTGCTTGTTTCAGCCGCCTGGCACCCTCCAGCCTCGAACATATGCGCAAGCTGAACATGTAGATCAACATGACAATGGGCGACGGAAGCCACGACGGATGCCATCCCATTGCTGGTAAACATGGACATCTGCGGGTTTCTGGGTCGATATTTTTTTCTGAGTCACATGTTGATCTGATCGCCAGTGGAAAAAGCCCGGCCTCAGGAAGCTGCAGAATGGCCCAAAAATTAACATGTTGATCTTGAAGCTAAGTTGCCTTTTCGTGCTTCATCCTGCTTGCAGTGGTTGGATGTTGGACCCAGACTCCAGACCCCTCTTTTCAATTCTTTTTCACCCCCAATTCAGCTGGGTCTCCGACCCCAAAAACCAACGCAGTAGCGGAAACGGCCCTGCGAGTCCGCCACCGAAGAACCTGAGGTCCTGGACCGCTTCACCTCCACGGGACACGTGTGGACACCCGGCCGTTCGCCTCCACCTCGGGTGGTTCAAGCGGTCGGGCCCTCCCGTCAGTGGCAGGTCCTCGTGATGACGTTCTGACGTTCCAGACTTGGCAAAAAGAAGTCTGGTGGAAAACTCCAAGCCTGCTACCATGATTTACTATGCAGCTACACTGCGTCTCACTTTTGGTGGAGTCTCCTGCTACCGGGTGGGGCCGGGGTCCGGCCAGTCCGTGCGGGCCCAACCGTGTGGCCCACCCACGGTGAACCGGGTGCCTGACGGTGCCCGATGAGCCAAGCCAATGAGGTTCGCAACCAAGCGACGGGGGGAGCCTTGGCACAGGCGGCAGCTCAGGCAGGTGTCCCATCCAGACGGGTGAGACGGGTCACGCAGCAGATGTGGCAGCTGACTTGAGTTTTTTTTTGCTGGCCCCAGAGGTGCTTGATTTGTATACATATCTAGTATGTTGATATGAATTGATATGAACACATATGAAGCGAACTTGGTAACCGTGCAATCTTTGGGACCACATCTTTTGTCTGAAACGATCGACTCCCACTGCAAAGTTGAGAAAGTAATTCATGACTTTATATCATTTGATGAGCTCATGATGCAGTCAGGACATTGTGAAAACAACCCGTGAGTGATGGCGAGTCAACAAAGGGCTTCTTCGTGTCCCAGTCCCAGGCTTCCATCTATGTTCCAGAACTACAGGAGCAGCTCTACGAGGACGAACGTCGACAGCTCGCGCCGTCGGTGCCAGAGAAGCGTGTCATGCAAAAGCCAAATGGCCAAAAGCAAGGGAGATCTGGCTGAAAACTGAAAATACAGATTGATGAAAATGACAATCCAATCTCAAATGACCACCACCACCACCACCACCACCACCACCACCACCTCCACGGGCCCTGGGTTGGTCCGGTCAGACGTGGGGTGCGACTGGGAATTCTTTTCACTTGGTGAAGGGGAGGCGTTGAGACATACTATTTTTTCCTTGTTTTGCTAGTTTTTTAAACATATTATTTCTATTTTTTATTGCACTTTCACTTTCCTTTGCCAGAACATGATGGCGCCGGATGATGGCCAAGTGCTTAGTTGGAAGAATCGGCATGGGTCCCGTTTGGCAGGATAGTTCCCATCTGGGTTGGCGTGAGCGACATCAGTTCCGTGTGAGCACACTTGGAACATTTTGATCAACCATGATCTGCTGATTTTTGCACAAGTATTCTTGATTCAGGTTGTCAAATTGGAAAGGCCTTGGAGTGTAGACTTGCCTACGATTAACATTGCATGTTCACCTGCATGTTTTGAGGGACCACAGTGCGAAGTTCAGAAAATTGAATGTGCTGAGGATGGCTAGAAGTGGAATCTCCATCGGGCAGGATATACTACTGGAACCAGCCGCTTAGTTCATCTTGGCCTGTGATGTTCACTGGTGTTTCATGTGTTTTGGATCTGTCTAAGTCACTTGCGACGCCAAAACACCTCGTGACTGTCTCAGGTTTACCCAGGAGGAGTGCCTGGGCGGCAACGGACCGGATAGGTCTCCATTGGAGCCCAGTGGGAGGTCAGTGAAGGTCTCGCAGAAGTGTTCTTTTCTGTGAGATCTTTCAAAACTGAATTTGAGAACTGTACGAACATGTCATGGTAGTTGTTCAATTGGGAATTTCTTTTTCTGTCGGCAACCAGGTGGGAGCCAGAGCCGTCATAAGCCCAGCAAATTGGCGCCTGCCCTGAGTGATGCGGCCAGTGATGGGAAGTCAACATGGCTGTTGATCAATTCTACGAACGTTTCTGGACAGTTGTACATGGGTTTTGTCTCAATGAGAAGAGACCCCTCGTACAATGATCGGGTTCTATATAGACATTCTACACTTCTGACCTTTCTTTCCCCGCACACTGGGTACCCTGGGGGGGCTCCAAGACACAAGATACTCAAATGCCACACGTGCACGAACAAAGGCAGGACTTTAGCAAAGCTAGAGTTCTGCAGGTCTCACTCTTAGCGTCTCACATAGTTCGTGTGTCGAACACGGCCACCACGCATGCCATTCTTCTCACGTCGAGCGACGCGAGACGTGAGAAGGCGCGTTCTTCGACGGCCGATGGCTGTTAACGAACTGGGCACTTCTCTTGGGCCCATTGTAAATGATGTATGTCTCACGGCAAAAGTGCGAACAGCTCGCTTGAGCCTGATGTGGCAAGAATGTGAAGAGCGATGGCCTCCAACCTAATAGCGATGGCCTCCAACCTAAGAGAGAAGACTCCAACCCAAGAGCGATGGCCTCCAGCCTAAGAGCGATGGCCTCCGCCCTAAATGCCAAGAATGTGCTCTGGCTTTTCATTCGCTGTTTTGCGCTGCCGCCTGCTAGCTTCGCCCGTACTTTCCCGCACCAAAGAACAACAAGAGAACTTCACATCCAAAAGAGTGAACTATCGATGGACATGTCTCCAAGCAATCATCGATTGTCTGTACCCATCCCTAGAAGGTTCGGAAGGTTCGGCGCCATGTCATCCAAAGAACGTGCTGGAGGAGCAGAGCTGCCAAGCTACCTGAAGGTGGTCAAGCAGCCGGTGCTCTTAGAGTGTCGAGATGTGTGAAGCTGCCACTGCCGCTGTTTTCCAAAGAAGCCACCAACGTGAGGTTTTGGAAAGCACCAATGTAAGGGACAGTCAAGGGATGGACCTGGACCATGCGGAGTGGCTTGGAAGGTATTGCTTGTATCACAGCTGCAGGCTGGGACGTGGCGCCTATGGGACCGTCTACCTTTGTGAGGACAAGAAATCGGGTGAGCAGGCGCCGAGGGGAAACGCTGAAACGGTGATATCTGGAAGCTCAAGACGATCTGGATGGTGACCGATTGGATCCGATTCATCTTTTTGACCATGGACCCCATGATTGTTTATTTTCATATAGTTTTTTCAACAAATCTCCATCGGGTCCGGGAGGAATCTTATTTGACCCTCCCTCCACGCAGTCCACCTGGTTCGCATTACAGCAGGTGGCTGTGAAGCAGGTGAAACAAGCGGCACGGCATGGGAAAAGTATGCTGCGGGAGGCGGGACTGGTCTGCTCATTTTTTGGGCCGTTCAGGTCGAGGTTGGCAACGGGTGCATATTCGCCGCGGCACTTGTGGCACGGTGTGTAATTTTTGATCAGTCTCCACGGTGGATCAAATCTATTTGGCCCAGATATGTTAGAAAGCAGATGAAGAATCTCTATATATATAATATATATATATGTATAGCCTAGCTGTATTTTCTTTTGAACTGCAAACAAGATAGTAGACTTGGAGATTTTGCGACAACTGCAGAGCCATCAGCAAAACCAGTGCCGCTTCAAAACTTTAGAATGTGGAACATGACACACACACACACACACTCACACCCCTGAGAGCATCCATGGCCATACCACACTCACATTTGTCCCCTGAATGAAGCCTGCAATTCCGCGACTCGTCCAGATCCGGCTGCTGGCACGCTTGCGCCACGAGAATCTCCTGTTCCTTCTGGACTTTCCTGCTGACGCTTTGACTGAATTTACAGTAGTGCGTTTTTTGAGTGGCCTTGTGTAGCTCTTTATCTTGAAGCGCACTTCGTTTTTCAACTGTTTGGGGCTTTGCTTAGATCTTTTCGGATTTGCATTCTTTTGTTTTTCCTAGACCTTTGAATAGTCGGAGACAGCTCCAAAGCTGTCTACTGCTCTTCCCCCAGTTGCCACCTGGCCCCGTCTGGTCGGTCCCCGCTTTGGGAACCAAACGAGCGACGTCCGAAGAAGAGATGTTCAAAGAGACGCCTGAGGTTTCATCTCCAAACTTTGAGGATATCTATCTCGTCCTGCCGTGAGCCGTTTTTTGTTTTTCTTCGTGTTTTTCCGCGGATTGGATGCCCCCAAAAGGGTCCATTCCAGTCCTCCAAGGAAGTCTCCAGTCGTTTGGCTGGTTTTAGCCCGTTTTTGGTTTTGGCCCTCCAAGGTCTCGGTCTCGTGTGTTTTTGGTCCGGTGAGGTGGGCACACCGCGCGCAAGTCCGTCCGTCCGATGCGGAGGTACCTGGCTGCGGATCTCCACAAGATTATCCAGTCACAGCAGGCTCCGATGGCGTTCTGTTCGCAGCATCGGTGACATCGGACGACCGGGGCGAGTTTCCGTGGGGCGGAGGTCATGAATACACCAAGGTTTGGGCAGGAACCTGGGGGATGACAGCTGGGGCGTGTTGATTCCAAACAGCTGGTGTCGCACCGGTCGCACCGTTCCCGCATAGCCTGAAAAACCCGGCAGACTCCAGCCTTGGACCGAAAGCTCAGAGAATAACAGCATCTTCTATTTGGTCGTGCTTCTGTGGTTTGGTCATGGGGAAGAGATCAGCTCTCGACCAACGACCCATATGCGACCACTCCACGCTCGTGGAGCAGCTCCTACACGCTTGCGTCTGATACCGCTGCGGCGCGCGTCGAAGGCGTCGCCTCCGTTCGTGCGTCGCATCCGTCGCATCCGCGAGTTGTGACGAGGCCCTGACCGAGAAGCATGTGCAGGTCATCTTGGTTCAGGCGTGGCTCGCGGTTGGGGCCCCATTTGGGACGCCACTGTTTGGGGCGGAACATGCTGGGAGCCATATCACCTGCGAAAACAAAACAGACATAAACACAAACACATGCACACACACACACAGACACACCTCAAAGAAACTAAGCAAACCAAGTGCAGACATCCAATGAGACATGACATAATCATCAAAGAAGCCGCCAAGGTACCTTCTATATTTCCCCATCGGAGGCGGTAAAGACCAAGTCCCCCACGGTCTTTTTGAAGCCCATGGGCCATCTTGAGACAACAGGTCTCCGGAGGGTTTTTTGTTCTGTCTTCTCTTGCGGGTGTATTGGGTTCGGGATTGCCCCCTCTTAGAAGACCAAGCCTTTCTGGCACCAAACCCGACAAGCCACAAAGTCTCCCCAGCCACCGCCGGTGTTGGTTGTTAAGCCAGATTTTACGAGCCATGGAGTACCTCCATGCCAGTGGCGTACGGAACTGAGGTGTTTTTTTGTCAGAACTCAGCGCACTCCACAGGATTCCAAAGGAAGTCAGCGTTGGCGTAGTGAGCTCAGGTGGCTCATCGCGATTTGAAGCCGGCGAATATTCTGCTCTCCTCAGATTGCAAGCTGAAGGTCAGAAGCTCAGTTGGCCTGCCATTGTCGGCCGATGTGGGGGGTAGAGCGGGCGAATTGAACCGGACTTCAAATCCACTTACATTGATCTCAGTATTTTTGTTGCTTTCTGGTCTTCCCTCAGACGCTCCGTGTCGAGGTCTGTGACTTTGGGCTGGCCAGGGGAGGCCTCGGCGAGAGCGACGAGCCGGAAGAGGCGTCCCGGCTCGGAGAGGACTGGAGCTTCACCCGTGGGGACTCCGGGCAAACACCCACGACCGCGCCATGCTCCTTACGACCGACGAACGGACGCGACGAACGGAACAAAGGGCATCGCCGCATCGCTCGGAGCGATCGGTTGCTCCTGGCATTGCCAGGAACAAGAAGCTACTAGTAGCCAGGACGCCGCTCCTGTCAAGACCGGTGCCTCCCCACGACCATGCCATGACCGTGCCTGTTTCGCGACTCAGGCGTGCGGCGTCTTGACGGAATACGTGGTCACGCGCTGGTACCGAGCCCCTGAGGCCGATGGACACCCGGTGGACACCGGCCGCGACCGGCCCGAAACGTGCGTCACTGTGCTACTCGTGGGGTCGCCGCACAAACGTGCGGCGGTGAAGGGGAAGAGGCAGAGTTTCGGGAGATTTGAGGGCATGGAAGGGGCAAGTGCATCGCTACTAGAAACAAGGGCATTACTACTAGTAGCAAATAGCTACTGGTAGCTTATAGCTACTATAGTAGTAATGCACTCGTTACTAGTAGCGATGCACTTGTTACTGGAGTGTCCAATTATGGACCTGGCACCCAAGATGATACTCGGCCCCTGAAAGCTTCTGTGAAATCGACGCCAGGTAATGTTGCTTCCAAAGCAATATTCGACAGCGGTGGACATTTGGTCCGTGGAAGGCTCAGCACTTTCCATTGCGGCGAATCTGCAGGCCCATTGGATGCTTTGACAAGACCTGCCTTAACCATGAACGAAAAGTGAGGCCATGCTGAAGGCCTGAAACACGTGAGACGGAGAAAAGAAGCGAACATGGATGCTTTGACCCTTTTGTTCCAGACATGGGGTGCGGTCACTCCTGCCGGTGATGAGACACGATTTTTGGGAATCCATTCTCAAGGCACTAGGGAATCAATCTACTCAAAGATGTATCAGCTTAGCAGCTTCTCTATTCCTTTGTGTGTGAATCATGCGTTGCCGATGAGGTTGGCTGTATCCTTGGGGAGATTCTGGGAAGGAAGGCACATTGCTTGGGATCGCGGCATTGGAACTCAGTGTCTCAGTGGAAGTGCATCCATTCGCCAGTTGCAAAAGTTGCGGTTCTCATAGGTCATAGGTACGGTACATGTTTTTGTGTTTGTTTGTATATTATATATATATATACATGTACATAATATATGTGTAGGTATTCACAGGTCAGGATTCCCCTGTGGAGAAGTCGTAGGTGGCTGCATTTCTCATCTTCATACTTGATGTCATTGCTCACGCTGCGGCAGCTTTTGCTGGTATGACATGGGCAAAGCACATTGCAGAACGACAGCTGGACGTCAGAGGTATCCAACCCGCATGAGAACTGAAACAGAACATGCAGGAAGCGACTGAAAACTTGGTAGAACCATTCAAGGTCCTGTTCTGACATCGTTTCTGGCCAACCCCCACAGAACTTTCCGTATTCTTGGTTTCTACATCCAAAAGAGCATTAGTTCTTTCTTGAAAAGTGAACTGAGCCACCATGATGAGACTCCGCGACAACATGATACGAGCGGCCATACGACAATTTTGTTGCTGCTGCTGTGTACAAGCCCTAGCTTTCACCTCGTTCGCCAACGCTTTACTCTGAAACAGAGCTAACCTCATGGGTAATACACAGAGCTAACCTCAACCATAAGGAAAACTGCCGTTTCAAGAGGTTCAACCTTTAACCAATTCATCTCGTTTCCTGAAACACCCGAATCTTCCGCCCCATCTTTTTAAGGCAAAGAAGGTGACGGGATGTGTGGACCTATCTCAGGAGGCGAGAACGGTGACGTGATGAGATGATGTGATGTTTTCGGTTCCAGGTTGCCTGTCCACTTGGTGCGAGAAAAACCAACATGTGTGTTATTTTAATTCGATGTCCCACGTTGAAGCTCAGGGGCGTTCGTCTCGTTCACGAGAACCGCAGGCAAAGGAAGATGCTGCCGTGTTCGTTGGGAAACCAATTGAGGCTGGGTTGGGGCAGCATTCTGCTGCAAGTTCATCTGCAGATATCATCCACATGACAACCACCTGGTGCCCCATGGCTCCCAGTGCACCGCCAGGAATTAGAGGCCAACCAGACAGAGAAAGAGCCTCGAGACAAAGTCCAGGCGCAGTTCCGTTTGCTTTGTCAAACCGTCACACCACTTGGAACCTGCATGTTGTGAGCGGCGTGGAAGTCAAAGCCCGAAACATGCAAAGTTCATGTGAAGATGAACATGATCGACCATGAACATGGTGAGAATACTACAAAATAGTATATATATATATATGCACACGCATAAACATACTGTGTATCTACATAAACATACTGTGACATCCTAGGCGGCAGCCCGACGGCTCTGCTACCAATCTGAATGATACACCCTGTGTGATCTACCTCCTAAGTGATCCTACACTCGCGGTCCTTTGTGTCCTTGGCTTGGTCCAGCTTGAGCCACCGTTTTACGAGCATTCATGCAGCTGATGGACCATGTTCATGCATTGAACATTGACAATATATATATATATATAATGTATATGTTTATGTATATGTATGACCCGTTTAGAACAATTCTGCCAACTGCCAGGAAGAGCCTCAAGTCCCAGGAGTGGTCCCGGCCGAATCCGTGGAGAGCCTCGCGGCGCCTCGCGGCTCCGATCGGCTTCCCGTGCTGGAGCTGCCAGGCCGACCGCATCGATCGGTCAAACGTGACCGGCCCGGCCCATCACTGGGTAGACCAAGGTCTCCCTATCCGAAGCATCCACGAAGGTCGTTGCCTAGGAGGTCTCCCTATTTTCATGCGCATGCAAGTGTGGCGTGTTCTGAGATGATCAAATAACATATTCTCAGACATATCCAAAGAAAACTCCAAAAGGTTTTGAGAACATCTGCAAAGAACAATCCATATTGTCAGACTCCAACGATCCACAAGATGCTGTTTGAGAACAATCCACATGTTGACCTGTCAGATGGTGATGCCTGCGGCCTTCAGATCTTCGAGCTCTTGGGAAGAGGTCGCCTGATGCCTGCCACGCCGGAGGAACCGGCGTTCCGTTAACGTTCAAAAGAACGTCCCCAGAGAAATTATCTGAATCAATTTGACTTGTACCATCAAGTAGTTTTCACGCAGAGACCCTTGGATTCAAGACCACTCCACTGATTACACGGACTTTTGCCCACGAAAGTATCTGACACGGTGCCAGCAGCTGCAGGTGCCAGCGGCTGCCGCGTCCATCGCTGTCAGGTGCCCTGAGCGGGCACGCGAACACAAACCGAGCACGAATGTGACTCCGGCGACACGGCGACACGGAGAGACCGTTTGGTTTCTTATTAGTTTTCAAAGAACATGTTCGCAGACATCGTGCATTTTCATCTTGAAATTCATATGTTCACAGCAGATTCAAAAACACATTTCATTATGATTAGTTGTGTCCCATGATCAGTAACAGTCGATAACGATTGTATTTGGGAGACGGTTTTACTAACCATCATCCACTGTTACTGGCAATTGAACACACGAGAGCAAGAAAAGCAAGACTAGTCAGAATAGTAAAAATAACAATCATAATTCATAGTAGTAAGAATTATCCAACATCTTCATCCTCATCAAAATGGCCGAGCCGAGCTGCTCAGTGCAGGAGGGTGGCCGGATCATGGCCGGCAAGGTGTTACCCTTGGGACCCGCCACCTTCCCCGACATGGTGGAGGACCAGCATATGAAGTCATTAGAGCAACAACTTATTAGAGTCATGATAGTCATCTCAAGCAACAAGTTGTGCCTTGAAATATCTTGAAATTCACGTCCACGCTGTGCCTGATAGTCATTTGATGTTGTGTCCTTGCGAGGACTTGGAGAATGAATTATCGGTCTTGAAAGTCGTCGGAGAGCACGCTGGCTGTTGTATTACAGTGGAGGAAGGAGGAATCAAAGAGGTATAAAATGCTGAATTGAGGTATCAACATGCTGAATTCAAGTCTTTGTGACAGCGATTGGGATTTCGGGATTTCTCTCTTTTGTGCTTCGAACGTCACTCTTCTTTCCTGGGTGTCCAGGCATCCGGCGTTGGTGTCATTTTTGGGCGCTTGGAGCACAAAGCGCTTCGTCCTGGACAAGCAGGAGCAGAAGGCTGAAACAAACGAGGGCCGAAACGAACGAGCAACACCTTCAGCATGTTTTGAGAACTCTGTTCATCCTTCCTCTCACTTTCCTCGCAATACGGATCTTTGGCTCTTAAATCTACCTCTGGCGTGCAAGGCCTATGTCGTAGGCATTGAGTTGTGTGGCACGAATCTCGAAGATGTGCTGCAAAAGCGCAAGGAAATGCACCTGGGACAGAAGAAAAGACAGTCTACAGACCCATTGAATCATATTGAATCATTGTTCGTTGAAAAAACATGGCTCTGATGCTGCAAGAAATTCAGGCTTTGCTCACCACCCTGTGGTACCATGATCCTGAGGCAGAAACCTTTGGAGCAGTCCGAGATGCTGCCGATTTTGAATCAGGCCAGAGGAGACGGGCTTTAGTACAGGTGAGTACAGAGATAAGGGAGATACGGATAGATATGTGTGTGTATTCAGAAACGGAGATCCCCCACCAATGCATTTTGGTCTACTTTCCTTCTTCAAGAAGGGGTTTGTCGGGGTTCTCCTTATGAAAATGCTCCCATACTGGAAGCACTGTCACACAAGTCCAGACGATTCCATGATTAGAATGCTCAGATGACGGAGGATTCTGATGGTGTTTTGAAGCATGACGGTTTTGAGGGGAGCAAGTCAAAATGCAGGATAAAGAGTTTCGCCTGAAGACGCATGAAACACATGAAGTGAATCGACAGCAAGATTAGACAAAGCAAAGCTTTAGAACCTCGGAATTGAAAGTTCCTTTCAAGATTTGAGCCAGAGTTTCTTTTTTGAGGACATTTTGAGCCTTGTAGAAGGACTAAAATTCTGTCGAGAAGCTAACTATAGCCTAGTAGCTTACCTCCTTTCTTCATTAAGTAGGAGCGGGCAAAAAAAGGAAAGAAACACAGAAGAAGGAAGAACGAAGATATATTATATAAATTATATAGTATTGGAGGTTTTACACAACCGTTACTTGGCGCTTTGCATGCCTCACGGCGCGAAGCCTTTGGCCCAAGAGGCCTTTTTTCGAGTTCGTTGGCGGCTCGCGCCATGGCTCGATGGGGGCTTTTTGCGGTGGGCCTCATGTGGTCCGCAGGCCCCATCGATGGCTGGTGGCAGGCGGTTGAGGAGGAGGCGACAGATCCTCCCAACGCCTCTTGCTGGGACCACCCAGTCAGCTGCCTTCAGCGGCAGGTGAATGCCACGGTGGCTGCTGCCCAGGCGCAGTACTCCACCCTGACGACCTGGGATAGCCTAGCCTGGACGCTCCTGGACACGTTGCTGTCGGGCGTGGGCTGGCTGGTGTTTGGCCAGAGCTGGGCCAGCGTCCGGACGGGGTGCTCGATGATCCTGAAGATCGCGCTGCTGATGGTGGTTTGCGTGGGGCTCCACTATTTCCTGTCCCTAGCCTGGCCGCTCTGCTCCTTGGTGATCGGGACTATCCTGACCGCAGTGTGGATAGTCCGGGCCCTGGTCAGGTGCTGCGGACGGGCTGCTTTCTACGCCCAGCGGATGTCAGGAGGAGTCCCGGAGGTGACGGGAGCAACCTTCATTGGACCGGACACCGGCGAGATCCCGGAGACGGCCGACCTCCGCAAGATGAAGAAGGGCACGAATGAAGAGCGGTGGGTCCTCCTCAAGCGGGACGGTTATGTGGTCATCATTAAGGTCACCGAGAATGCCGCGATCAAGTCGAGTGGCATGTACCTGAATTTTGACCCTGAGGCAACCAGAGGTGACGCCCAACTGTTGCTGGCCTTGAAGGGTTACGAACGGGTGCATCTATGCAGGCACGACACGTGCCCGGAAGAGGGCCAGCATTTCAAGAGCTATGCCTTGGCCCGCCAACTCAATCCCGAGCGCTTCCACCTTATGTCTACCGCGGCTGGGGCCCAGAA